TGCTCATTTGTATGCATTTGATCACTATAGATCAGTAGGTATTATACATTGCTATAGAAATATAGGTTTGACACGTTCAAGCCTAGTGTCTTCTCAGGTTTGCGCAGTAACGTATTGATTTTTAAGCACCATTCGATCGAGCAGTCTCTGCTTGTAAGTATCTGTGTCAAATATGAGAGAATTTCAACAACTGCAAAATATCCTATAATTAACGAAAATCGCCACAGATCATGTGAACTGCATAAATTCCATCACTTGACTTTTCCAGTCAAGGTTTATTACATTGCTGCAAACTACTAAATCCTGGCTAAATGGGGATATACATTTTGGTTATAAATTTTTCTTGTCGGATGAATAACTGTTTCAGTTTCTTTTTCAATTTGTATCTGTGAAGCTAAACAGAAAACCTCGAATGTGTCTTTATTGCTGAGCACTGTGTACATCATGTCTTATCTCTTGGACCAATGCTACGGAATGGTGATGAGTTGTTGTATAAGTTCGTGCGATTTTGTTCGAATTTAATTATTCCGGCGGAAGTCCATGTTTCCCAAGTTTTTCATTGTCTTCCTAGGGTGGAGGTCCTGTTTCGCGCATTCTGATGATTTGATGGTTGGACGGATGGGAACATTCTGATGACTTCGTTTCACACAATTCTCTTGTGGTTTGACCCGTTGAGCCTTGACTGAATACAAAAAGTAACAGTTTTTGAAAATGCGTTTCTTCGTCCACCTGACACTTCATTTCGTCACGTTGAAAATCCAAAGGAGACAAAACTGCAGCAGACCGTCTAATATAGTGGCGCTATAGATTGGTGTGTGACATTCCTCCAGAAACGTGGACATTCGCCGGAACAATTGAATTCATATGAAACCGCACGAACTTATGCACCAACCCAATACATAAATCATCCGGATTGGTTCTCTTTAAATGAGTAAGAAATTCACATTTCTTAACGCTTGTCTAATAAAAACGTCATTTCCCTCTCTTGGCGACTTAGCGTACTTGGCGAAGTCTCTGTACATCTTGCATTCACATTCGAACATTTTCCCGCTCTCTGATTAAATTTCTACAAAAAATTGAATTAATAGAAGGCTTAATTACAGCAAAAGTATTTGTTTGTTATTTGATTCCGTGTTTTTTTTTTAATGTGAAAAGCCATTACTCTCTTCAGAAGACGAATTGCGATAAGATGTTCCAGTTTAGGATGTGAGTGGTCGCGCTATTTTAAGCGGACTGAGGTCGTGGCTCATCCGTGGCTTCGGAAGAGGCTTACTCCGGGCTTAGGTTTGGGGTTCCTAAGGTATTAGGATGAAGCTCACTCATTTATCAGATTGACTCTTTTTCCGATTCAACTGAGCTTCTTCGAAACACCCTTGAAAACGCTACCAAATATGTCGGACTCGTACACCTCAGTGTTACCAGTTGCTACGGTTTGAGTTCTTGTTTCAGCAAGGATATTCACAACGAGATTGTCTTTGTTCTAGCCTTATCTTTAAGATTGAATTGTGGTGGCCTCGGGGCTGAATTTGAATGCGAACAGTTCTCATCTTCATATCTTGTGCAAATATTCATTCTTATCAGCATTCATGTTTCTGTTTATCTGTAGTTTTAAGCAGTATTGTTGCCGGTTGTTTCAGTTTCTGTAGTCTTACCATCCTCCGAAATGTTCTGCTGGATTTTCCAACGGGTTTCTTGAATCCACTTTTAGTGATTCACTTCACATTAACGAAAAACTAACTTGAAGCTTGCTTTTGAAGTTTTCCTGGTCAATCGAATTGTTCTTTTCAGGTCACTGTTTAATACTTGTTTCGGATCGTTTGTTCTGCTTTCCCGCTAGCCGTGCAACATGTTTCACTTTGCGGCTGGTTCAACCGAAGGCACACTGCCGCATCCGTCTGGAACGGAAATTTCTAAAGTTGAAGTAATACTTTCAGAATTCCTCCGTGTTTCATTGTAACGAAGAACGCTTCAGATCAGCTGAAGGGGGGGGGGGGGGTGAGCTGAAGAGAACCTAAATGGAAATGTGCACTGGAAACCCAGAACTTAATGAGACGGAATTCAGAACATTTCAGTGATGCCTTTGAAGAGTTTCTAGCCAGTTGGCTTCAGTGAACAGCGATGGTCGTAGTCATATTGGTTTTAAGAAATTCGATAGAATAGACTGATGAAACTCGCTTTTTAATGTTTTGATTTAATGTTTCGCCTTTTTTCAGTATAGTCCAGATGAGTCGTCACAACTTTTGGCAGTATCGAGCTGGGCTGGTACTGTCCGAATCTATCACTTCCCGAGTACTCCGGTTGTTGGTGTCGAGCAACGTGTCTACGCCCATACTAAACCAGTGCTTTCTCTCACGTTCACCGTTCGTTTTCTTTGCAATTTCATTACTTCTGATCATATCAATATTTTTGTTTCAAGCACTTCTACATCATAGAAATACATTCTACAGATAATGCATGGAGCTTTGTTGCAGTATTGTTGATGTAAAATTATTGAAGCTTTCAAAATAAATAGTGCAACAAATACGACCTAACTAAGATATTAAACAATTAGAATAATGGGAAATATTTCAGAGTAATAATGAAATAGTAAGTGGTGGATTGGACTGTTTATTGAAGACATTCGACGTTGAAAATGCAGCCGAATGTGTAATTGGTCGTCATGATGCTGCCGTGAGATGTATCGAATATTGTAAAGATCATAACTTGGTAGCATCGGGAGGATGGGACGGTGCTATGAAGGTGACCACTTGTTCAGTTTCACGCACTACATCAGCAATTTTTTGATTTTTTATCGTTGAGTTGCTTGCAGCTGTGGGACGTGCGATCGAAAGGTTCTGCTGGTTTTGGTAATAACGGAGATAAGGTGTATGCAATGGACACAATCGATCACCGTGTGGTGGTGGGCACGAAAGATCGTAAAATTATCGTTTGGGATGTTAGAAACTTAGGCGAACCCGAACAGATTCGTGACAGTCCGCTTAAAGTTAGTACCTTTTCAAATTGTGTCAAAATTTGGCTGGTTTATTTCCGACTGCTCTACAGTATGAACTCTTATGCCTTTATAAATATCTCGTCAACTTCACTAGCTGTCGTTATCATTTGCTCTTTTCTTACCATTACTCTGATCATTTTAGCAGTGTTTCTGTTTTGTTACATTCTTGCTGAATAATCTGAAGAATATTTGAAGTACCAAACGCGTGCATTGAAATGTTTCCCGACCGGTGATGCGTTCGTAGTTTCGTCAATAGAGGGCCGTGTCGCAGTTGAATATTTCGACCTGGCACCCGAAGTGCAAAAAAGTAAATACGCTTTCAAATGTCATCGAGAGAAAGATAAATCTGGCACTGAACTCATCTATCCGGTCAATTGCTTGGCCTTCCATCCGGTACATAATACCTTCGTTACTGGCGGTTAGTGCTTTAATTTCTCGACGAGAATTGTTTTGTTGAACTTAGTTCATTGCCGAAAGTGGGCTGAATCTATTCAATGTGATTTGCTTGGCGAACAGTTCCTTAAAAATTATCGGTGGTTCGCCCATCGGAAAGCAGTTTTTTTGTTGAATACGAAAGTTGAGGTAACGCACAGCCACCTGAATTGCTTGAAGCGATCGGGGTGCAGTCTGCTGAATGTGAAAGATAATTTGGCTGGCAAGCATTTGAGTAGTTACTGTGTTTTTCACAGTGTCTGCTTTTAGTTATGAGCGATATAATATGTTGGTCACTTGCAGTTTTTCTTTGTCAGTTGTTTCTTAATCATCGAAGATTGTTAATTTAGGATCTGATGCCCTTGTCAATATCTGGGATCCATTCAATCGAAAACGAATTTGCCAACTTCACAAGTAGGATTTTGCTTACGATTGATTTCATAGTTACTGTTTTCGATTTTATAGAATTTTACCGAGTCGTTTATCATTTGACGGTTGGTGCAGTTGTGATTCGGTTAAGGAAAACATGTCATTTTCGTTTTGTGTATGCGAAAAGAGGCTGAGTATTTGGAAGTGGTGACAGTCAATAGCATGATCTGTGTATATTTCTGTGAAGCATTACTTACGTATCTTGCAATCAAGAATTTGTTCAAAGCTCAGTTTTCGAAGAACTGGGCGAATTATGAATAGAATGGCATCCATGCGATCTTTCACACAACCGTCTTAATCTAGATTCCCGACGAGCATCATGAGTGTGTCGTTCAATCCAAGTGGAACACAGCTGGCGATCGTTGCCTCGTATATGAATGAACTGAAGGAGCCACCAATAGCACCACCAGAGAGTTGTGTTGTTGTTCGACGGATTACAGATGTAGAGGCTCGACCAAAATAATAGAATCTGGAAGAAGTTAGGCATTCACAGTGAATATAAAGCGTTGTTTATTTGATGTTACAAGTTGTATTCGAATGTCTATTTTTTGCAATGTCAGTCTAATNGAATGCTGAAGAACTCATCAGTCATGTTTAATTTGAATTTTTCATTTTTCATTCAGTACATCTGCTCGTCAGTCTCATGAAATAATTGAAGGGGGTATTTAGACCGGGAAAGTTGTTCGAAGATATGTCTTGATTGTAGTGAATGTTGTGAGATAACGGAATTTATTTGTAGAAATGTGAGCTGTTTGAGGTGAATCGTGTTTACAAATATTCCGTTAATTTTATAGCAGATTTGTTGTTGCTTTGTTATTTTCGTCGAATCGATCTCTGATTTGTTTTTATTACTTGTAAGCAACGTTGTAGCAGTCAAAATAAGGCTGAATTGGTGACGCGTTAAAATGCTCATTTGGATTGTTTTTATAGTAAAAAATTCTCGTCTAATCTCTCGTTGTTGAATGTATGTGAATTGTTCGCCGAAGATGCTCGATTACGCACGTGTCACTCTGCAGTTGGAATAAATTTGATTCCATTGAATATTCCAACGATACTGAAGTTTTGGGTGAACGCTTCTCGATACCTCTTTCATGAATTATAGCGTTCAAATTGAAATTTATTTTCCAGAATCATCGTAATTTAAATGTGCTCATTCATACATTTGTTTTGCTTCAAAATAAAAAATTTATGATATCAAATCGTCTTTATTATTTTCATTTCAATTTATTATTCTCTTCATTATTTTTTGGTCATCGTTTCATATTTTGTGCACTAATAATGGTGTGTAAACCTCTAGGCACAGTTTTTTCACAATGGAACCTCACCTCATTTAATGGTCAATAAAATCACAATCTTTTGCCACTAAAAATCTCACTTCATTTAATGGCCAATTTCATTTGTCAATATGTAGTTCTCGAGTTTTTTCCATAGATTATTCGTAAAGATATCAATCCAACTGATCTCAAAATGGGTTCGTATTGATTTTATTGGAAACGACAATTTATGAGTGGCAGACGAATTTTTTGTTAAGTGATTTATTGTTTGTGATAAATGTGAAGCAATATCTCTCCCAATTGGAAAGCCTATAAATTGTCTGTTTTCATGTCATTAGCACGGTATTTTTGCTGGTTATTAGCAAATATCAATTGTTCACCTGCTACCGAAGTTCTTTCGTCAGAGAATTTGAAAAAGTTTTCATTCTATTTTTTCATCACATTCAAATCATTCCCTACTCTCTGACATGATCGCTTGGGTGACAGTTGCATTGGCGTTAATTTGTGTGATAGATTTACCGATTTTTGATCGCTTTTCAAGCGTCTTTTCATTGTATTTACCAGTAGATTTGCATCATTTTCTATTTTCAGTCATCATTACATTGTTAACAGTAACGTGTGCGTTAATCTGCATGATAGATTTTCCGATGTTTGATTGCGTTTTTAAAGTGTTAATGCGCTGTATTTACTGTTTTGAGTGTTTGCGAAGAAGCTTCGAATACTCGTTTTTATTACCACTTTCTTCGACCATAGCATTAGAACGAATCATATCCGTTGGATGTATGGTTTGTGCAAATTATTTAGGTCATTCCATTTTTAGTTCATTCAGTTGTTTTTTAAGTAGTGTTTTGTATTTTGGTGATAGGATATTATTTCAGTATCTTTGCTGATGCGGCAAACTCATGTTATCCATCAATATCCATCTAATAAAATGTAATTGCTGAGATGCATTGAGATATGTCATTTCATCGTTTAATACAGATTTTCTCAACAGTCTTCATGTCTTATCACATCATCATCGGATTACGAATGTTCTCGGCTGCATCGTTGTGATTGCATCTGTTCGCAGTGAATCTTAAGTCCTCGTTCGTGGCCAATGAGACGGACATAAAATTTTCTCATCATCATATCAACACCTCTCATTGTAAGATAAATCCTACAAATTTGATCTGTTTTTTTTTNTTTTTTTTTCAGCATTCCAATGTGTCTGCTAAACAAATCGCTGGAGATTATTGTTCCTGAATATTTATCTACAAGCTAAATTCGTAGAACTGCATGACTGTTTGGGATCAGAATCTATGACCGGCTGGTTTGTAGAAGTAGCAATTGCGAATTTGCGCGAAACTTAATTGAATATTTCACATTTTAATAAAGTATGTTGAGATAACAAAAAACACTGAAGTTAGCAGTGAGATTTTCATCGGTTTAAATGATTGAGGGTTTCACAAGAACGTTTCTTGCATATTCTCATAGTTGAATCCATCACGATCATGTGAACAAGACTGAGTGTATTGGTTAGAAGCTGTTTGCGCTTAAAAAATCAATGAGAATTGCAAGTGTGAAAGGCGATGGTGTTCAAAGAATATTGTGGCGGCAAGATTAATTTGAGGTGATGAAGGATATCGATAGAAAAGGCCGTTGTAATCTTTCTTTTACAATCAGACTCAACGAGATCTTTTAATTAGGTCTTGAAATATGATTACTTTGGGAGTGTTTGGCGATAAAGTTTCGTTACGGTGTCTGCGAAAAACTGCTGCGGTGCCGTCTATTTAAATGACATTTTCCAATTGAGTAAGTCCAAATTATGCTCATTATTCATTTGAGCCATTTTCAGCGAGTATTCAGCTAATTTTTTTAACGTTTCAAGAGTCTGAAAGGATAATAAATTACTTCCGAGATCTTCGCCCACTGTAGTCTCAAGTTAACTGATGAAACAAGCGATGGTTTCGACTGATCACACCAAATCGTTGAATGTATCATCGCGATCGAGCATTATCATTTCTCATACTAACGTCTACTTTCATCTTGACGAAACATTCATTTAATTGATTAATTGCAATAAAATTATAGCGAATTGATTGATAACTGCTTGTGTTTGATCAGTCGTCTCATTAAAAAATCACAAAAAAAAACGAATCTATTCCGATTTGAATCTGATATACCACCATCTCATAAAGTGCTGCATTGATAACGAAACGTTGTTGATGCGTTTGCTGCATTGATAACGAAATATGTTTACTAAATTAACACAATTTATCTCAGGTGAACATTTTTACGCTGTCAGATAATATTGTTGACTATAGATCTAACCGCTCTGCAATGTTATTGGTGCGATTTTTATCTCGATTTTCATAGCCTCACTCTGAATGTGATGGATTTGTTGTTGCGTATGCAAAATAATGAAATGTTGTTCCTTGAATTTTCGAATGTGGAAATTTGTCATCTTGTGTTCCAGCCCTGTTATGTATGCGATTCGCTTAACATTACTAATAGATGATCCGTGGTTAGTGTAAACTCATACATTCAGGGATACCGACCTGCGGTAGTCTTGATTGCCGGTCTAAAGCATGCGAACTGCAAATGGTTGCCTCTAAACAGGGGCATCGGATGTGAAAAAAATGGTATTAGCAATCAATCATGCCAAATGGAAGTGAAATAAAATTCATTTCGGTGACCGTCAATGATGAAANCGCTTGAAATCGAAATGAACGCTAATTTATTCGTCGCATTTGATATTTACCTCGTAAAGCCTTTCGATGAATAAGCAAATAAATAAATAAAAGTAAAGTACTATACTGATGACACTGAGAGAGTGGCATTGGTTGTATAAGTATTCCTCGTAAGTCCATCCATTTCGTCAGCAAAGCAAGAGGCTTCTTTCGAGTTGAAGTAAATGATTGCGGTTTGTTGGATGATAGGCGAAAGGATAGGTGAAGTTTTCGGATGAGAGCGAGTCACAAAATGTACTAATATATTTTTTCTAAAAGCATCAAACTATGGCATATGAAACTGAAGTGTTTCACTTTAAGAAAATTATTTATCTTTCAAAGTATTAAAGAAGTATTATTTGATAATAAAATTCATGTGGCATGTTTTTGTCATACGTACGAATAATCAGAAGCCAGGAGATAGTCGATGGAAAAAAACTTCCGCATCAAAGTTCATTCCCGAGTGAAAATTGCATCTTTTGCTTTCAACATTTTTAAGTAGAACTGATCAGGCAGGTTAATAGTTATTGAGTGTGTTCAGTTCTTCTGACGTCGTAAATTTTAAATATAATATTTTATATGCCTCGTTTTTTTAGCAAAATATCTCACATTGAGATTGACTGACATCTCTTTGCCTAGTTGATGAATTTCATGTTGCATGGACCTTGATAGGGAGCAGAGATTTTGAACAGAACAGCGAACAGTGTTCGAAATACTGTATAAAAGAGGAAATTGAATACATGTTTGCCGTACTCCTACTGTGCTTTGAATGCCCTGGCGAATCTGTTGAGTGAAGCCAATTATCAGGTTGGATTAGAAACCTTGTGGCTCATATTGATTCCGATTATGACATCCTCCAAAGAGTTAATGGGTAACAGACAAGAAAAGATAAAGTAAGCGGTACAATCACGTAGCGCCTTGATCGATTGATGGCAGGTGATGCAAAATAGCAGCGAACAGTAATTCTGGAACACAAAACTTTCGGTCCAAAGAACATTTTAAGAATTTGGCTTATTGCGGTCTTTCACCATTTCCAGTTGATTGTTCGCGATATTCGTGAAGGTTCGCGCACCCCGTCCTCCCCGTCGGGGAGCGAAACTGGACAGGGGTGGTCTCCGCGAAAAAG